CATTCATTGTCACTAGTGCATTGAATTTTTTTCCTTTCGCGTTTCAGTTTCTACAGCGAATAAGAATCATCATTGTCCTCATTCACATAGTGTACTCTACGCTTGTGAGGAGTCCCTCTATCTTTGATTTTAGTTATCTCCCCTGATTTACATTTGGCCTCAAAATGGTTGGTTCGATGGCATTTGTTACACTTCTTTCCCCATGCAGGGCACATCACCTTTTTGTATGGGTGAATTCCACCACAGAACTTACACTCCTTAGCACTTTTATCGCGGCGCTGACTTTCATGTCCGTGTCTATTAGGTGGTTTATTACTGTTAGCCCTACTGTCCTTCCTCCTAATGTACTCTACATCCTCCTGAGATTTTTTTTTTTATTTGTTTGTTGGTTTTCTCTACTGCGCGACATATGTCTAAACAGGTTGTCAAGGATAGTTTGGAATCTTGTAACAGTTTCTTTCTTGTATTGTTGTCGCGAATGCCTATAATCATCCTATCGCGAACTAAACTGTCCTCGAGCGTTGCATAGTTGCACGTTTTCGATAGAGATCTCAACGAATATACATACGCATCAATGGTCTCACCTGTCTCTTGGTCTCGTTTATTGAACAAGTATCTTTCATACGTTTCGTTTGTTTTCCCCACGCAGAACTTCTCGAATTTGTCAATAACTTTCGCGACATCTTTGTCATCGTCGTTTCCAAATCCAAATTCCTCAAATATTTCAACGGCATCAGGCCAAACACACGTTAGGAATGTTGCTGTTCGTCGAATTTTCTCTTTCTTGTCAAGACCGGTAGCAATTTCGTAGTTATCCCAAACCCTTTTAAACCTTTTCCATGACTGTGACAAGTTCTCTTCTATGTCAAGCTTTGGCGGGAATGGTATGTTGTTTACTTGGGTTTGAACATGCGGTATTACAACAGCGTTGTTCTCAGCTATTATTCGTTTCAATTGTGGTTCGATCAGTTCAACGCAAAGTCGTACCACTTCTGGCACCATGTAACGTTTAGACGTCGGCTTTAAGGGGAATACATGGCTACGCAGGTCATAAACAACACACTGAAACTTCGGGACTATGGAGCGGCCATCACTGTTTTGATAACACGAGGCCAACACAAAGATCCATGACATCACAATAGTATGTGTACACATGACAGTATTATTAAGCTTTTACTTTTAAAGAAAACGTTACAGTTCCGACCCCTAAATGATATTTGGGTCGGACCCTGGGGTTAAATATTTCATTCTGGCTCATAGCAACGTGTCAAGCCCCTGTGGATGGACCAATAGGTTGTCATATTCTACAATGGATGGGTTAGAAAGGTTTTACTAAAGAAGTTTTTTGAAATGTCCGATTCGGATCTCAAAAAAAACTATATATATTTATTTACATTACAATGCAACCTATAATTCCCTTAGAATTCTAAACTCTTAACAAACATCGGCTTAAACGTTCAATGACAACAAAATTATTCTTTGCACAATAATAAACTAATTATAATTGAATTCAGAAATATTAGTTCACGCTAATTTTGTACCCGTGCTGGTCAGTATAGACAGCACATTGCTCACATTTAAGATCATGATGTTCATCGTGTCCACGAAGCCCAAAAAGGTTTACATGCATAGAAAAACATGGTGCACTGTAACGACTCGGCCGTGTCCGCACCAAAAACACCACTTTCCCATAATATTGCTTCGTCCTTGGGCATCAATGCCTGGGCCTGTTAAACGTTTGTACCAAGTCCGCTAGAGAGAAGCTCTTTCATTCTTGCATCCAACACTTTCCGGAAACTGTTAAATACGCCATTTTGCGAGAGAGAAAAAAGTTCTTGTCATTTACATTGCATTCTCTCAAATGACGAAGAAGTCCACAGATGATTAGGTATAGATCTAGAGAACGTGGAGGGTAAAGAGTCCCGTCTTTCTTCCTCGTTTCCATAACGAATCTTGACAGGAAGTAGTTCATTTCTTAACCAGTCATTTCAAGAAATTCCGGGATCACTTCACCACCAGCCATTTTTCCATTTTGGAGCAAACTTCCAAATACACGCCTCGCCAGAACTGTATTCTTTTTAGTGTTCACATATTCCTGCTATCCAATAAGCTCTTTCTTTCCCGGTGTAGATACTGCTTCCCCAAAACGTTTGTTCTCGAACTTGGGAGGTTTCTGGTAATTCTAATTCAAATGTCCCGTGTCCATTCAGCTCAGTGTCCATTTCTGTGTCACTTTCAGACAGTCTGCTTGACGAAGCGACAGGTACATCTTATTTAGAAACACACTGAGTCAGCGACAGCTCGGTAATCTCATCAAAAGCTTTCACTTCGTTTTCTATACCCTGGCATGCTTGATATAACACAATGTCATCAAAATCGTCTTCTTGTAAATATAGGAAATCCGTGACTTTCAAATTGATAGTGGAACTAGCTGACGGCGTTGTCATCCTGCTGTTTTCAAAGGTCAAATGGAAATGGTGAGAAACTAAAGGCAGGAAGTGGTGTAAGGCTTGAACTTCTAATTGATTGTTGTTTTTTTGGCGGGAAATGTACTCCTCATTGATTGTTGATTGTTTTTGGCGGGAAATGTACACAGGAACACAAGACAATTCTGAAGTTTAGTGACAGTTGATTGACGGACCATGATACAAGTCATTTATTGAATGTCTATATACTCGGGTACACTCGATATTTCGGTAGGCGTTAACTCGTTCGCTTCGCGAACTCGTAACCGCACACCGAAAAATCTCGTGATACACTCGTCTAGACAGTCAATAACTATAACATGGCGGCTACCGCTTTCATTGTATACACTTGTTTTTTACTGTGTCAAATATTTAAGGGAGTTACAAGAAAGTTCGCTGAAGCATAAAGTCAAGGCTAGAGCACGATAACGGCTTCATAAATATGGGTCGTGATGTCGGTCTCTCGAGCTGATACCGAGTCCCTTGTCAAATAATAGGGGTCTTAATGTAGTTCCCGCAGAAAATGCATGTGGTTGGGCAGGTGACCACATACCTTAAAAAGCGAATAGACAGACTTGATTTATAGCAAACAAATAGAGTGTGTAATGTTGTTTATCCTTCTGCCTTACAAGTAGATATTGAAGTGTGCTGAGGTGATATATTATCATACACATCTGTTTCAGTTTATTGTAACACTTACTCCATTAGAAGTAAATTTATTGTTATTAACAAAAACTGAAGTATCATAACTATACATTTAACAACATTCACGTACAGATGCCAATTTCAACAAATTACCTGGATATATATTTGTCAGCAGATTTGGTGCAGTAGTATAATAAATGGAATCACCAATGAACAACCCTGCGGACTTTTCATGACTTCAGTTTGACTTGCGACAAGTTATATTCATCTCAGACGTAACGAAACAAATTAAAAACCTTATGTTCATCTCAGACGTAACAATACAAATAACAAAAGTAATGTTCGTCTCAGACGTAACACTACAAATAGCAAAAGTATTGTTCATCTCAGACGAAACAATACAAATAGCAAAAGTATTGTTCATCTCAGACCTAACAATACCAATAACAAAAGTAGTGTTCATCTCAGACGTAACAATACCAATAACAAAAGAAATGTTCATCTCAGACGTAACACTGCAAATAACAAAAGTATTGTTCATTTCAGACGAAACAATACAAATAACAAAAGTATTGTTGATCTCAGACGAAACAATACAAATAACAAAAGTATTGTTGATCTCAGACGAAACAATACAAATAACAAAAGTATTGTTCATCTCACACGTAACAATACCAATAACAAAAGAAATGTTCATCTCAGACGTAACAATACAAATAACAAAAGTAATGTTCATCTCAGACGTAACACTACAAATAACAAAAGTATTGTTCATCTCAGACGTAACAATACCAATAACAAAAGTAATGTTCATCTCAGACGTAACAATCCAAATAACAAAAGTAATGTTCGTCTCAGACGTAACACTACAAATAACAAAATTATTGTTCATCTCAGACGTAACAATAAAAATAACAAAAGTAATGTTCATCTAAGACGTATAACATATAACATACTATAAACAGAACACTATGACTACATGTAGATCTCGCAAAAACATACGAATTTATTTTTGATATTATCTTCGATCCTTGTGAAATTGATTTACGGTCATCCATCCACACATACATGATGGTCCGTCTCATCAGCAGACTATCAGCTTTTAGTAATTCACATGGAGTCGTTTCAATATTTCATTTTGAATTGTTTTTATATATTAAATCAGAATGGTCACCAGCGACACAGCAGTATCAAATGTAGTAACACTTGCCAGGCAAAACCGGAAAAGACTGCTCAAGGCTTATTCTTATATCCCATTTCTTCAATCCCTTGCTAATAAATTTGAGATAAGTTTTGGTAAAAAAAGGGAAAAAACAGATAAAGAACACCTTTGACAATTTATTCATATTTGTACGTACGACTTTGTATCTCGTTCGAACGACTTTTTAAATCTTTTGAACGATTTTTTTTTTTTATCTCGAACGTGCGACATTTCCATTCGTATCTTAGCTTTTTATCTCGTGCATACATGTACATCGATGTATTTTTCTAGTTCGTTCTTTTTTTCTCGTACATACGTCTTTTTTTCTCGTACGTACCACACATTATTTGTTTTATAATTCCTAAAGAATGGCACGAATACTATTTCAGAGAGACCCATTACTGAAGTTCCACTTTGACATGCATAAAAGACAAAGTATAGCTAAACTGAAACTGGTACATGAAATCAGATTGATATGCAAGTCATGTTGGCAACAGTCTAGGGAGTACATGTAACGCGATCATAAAACATGGTACAATTATTCAATTATACCTGAGTATTTATAATATTTTCAATGTGTACTGTTTTGTAATCATTTTGAAACCTTGACTTAAATAAGTACCTAAATACGATTGCAATTTTGTTCTCCATATAGAGAAGAGAAAGTATTGTGAGTGTTTTGTACGAACCTTGATGCCCTGTTTCCACTGTGACATCACCGGGATTCCGCAGTACTCCATTACCACCGCCTCCGCGGAAACGGGTAACCCATCCGGGCATCTTTTGGCGCCATAGTGTTCCACTGACTCATTAAGAGCCAAGGAAAAGATGATATCATCTCGACATGTCGGCAGGTCTAAAGCATTCATTGGATTACATAGTAAATAATTCATGAGGAATGATAATTTTCAAAGGCAATCATTTTTATTGTTCACGCCGCATCATAATTCCCTTATAATAGTTCACATGCATTTTAAATGTTAAAAAACATTTATACCTTTCTCGCACGGTTGGGCGTCTACTACTTACGCGAAAGCGGCTTCATCGTCGATGTCGTTGGCACTATCGTAGTACTTGGAGTCGTATGCATGTTTAAGGTTGCGAGTCTACTTAAGGTTGTCGATATTCCTGCAGGGGCTGTTGGTGCGTTTGTTATAGGTGCAAAATGTTCGCTTCCTTTAAGATAAAAATATGGAAGCGTTGTTGCTCAAATGATCCAATTATAAATAAACGATTTTAATAAAAAAAAAGATGAGACATTTCTGAAATAACAAATTATTGTAGCATATTTAGATTTGAGAAAAAATGGCTTTCAATTAAAAAAATCTTTGTTTTTCTAAATGAGTGATTTTGTTTAATATCAGAAATTATCATTTGGTAGCCAAATTTAAGATTAAGTTACACATCAAATGAGGAAAAAAATTCGTTACAAGACCACAACTCTTTCCAGTATGAAATGTAATGTGGCGGTAAAGTACATTATCTACCGCCTAATTAATCAGTAACATCTGTTTTACTATATACTTTAAGTAACACATAGGTTTTATTTTAGTTTTAATAATAATAATAATTCGAGGTTTTTATATACCGCTTTATCACAACCTTTTTCGTAGGTCGTCTCAAAGCGGATCACAAATTTTTATCCGTGGTTGTTGGGTCTTTAATTTGCAGTCAGCTGATATCTTTTTCAAATCCCCTAGGGGCATACAACCGGTGCTGCCATTTCGGCGTTCACAGCTAGCATTCAACAATTCTAGCACTGCCCAACCACGTACTCATTTACAGCTGAGTAGACTGGAACGAGTAAAATTTCTTGTTCAAAGATACGACACAGTGCCGTGACGTGACTCGAACCCGCAACCCTTCGGTCACGAGCCCGGCGTCCTGCCACTAGACTACCGTGCCTTAGTTTTGTTCTCGGCCAGAAAACATGCGGAAAAGAGACGACTCTATCAACATTACGACCTACTTAAGAGAATGCCTAACAACTTATTTCAACGATGTCGTTTACATAACGGATAACATTTGAATATTTTTAACGATATAATTGTAATAAACCCTACATAAGAGGGTACTTTAAATTATCAAACTAAAGGCTTATTTGTAATATTAGCCTTTTATAATACAGCTTAGGTGATTTTCCCACTACTACACAGGTTTTGACAACTTATTCATCTATAATTTGCTTGTAAAATTTTCACACCGTTAGGTCACATCACTAACACTATATCAGAGTTTAAGAAACAGCAGCAAGGTTAACAGACCCTCGGAAACAATAAAAGCTGGTGTTTTAGGACTTGGTTTATATCTGTTCATTATTCATCTAGATATGGTTATATGAATTCGATAAAACGTATACGTAACGTTTAACATGGCATGCCTGACGTTACGAAAAATCGACAATGATCATATCTTAATTTGCATGAAAGAAATGACCCCCATTCAAGAACTTTCGCATGAAAATATACAGTAACCTGGTATCATGCAGTATACAAACATCATTTACTATCCATTTTAGACATACTCTATCACTTTTTAGACATACTCTATCACTTTTTAGAATACTCTATCACTTTTTAGACATACTCTATCACTTTTTTAGACATACTCTATCACTTTTTCGACATACTCTATCACTTTTTAGAATACTCTATCACTTTTTAGACATCCTCTATCACTTTTTAGACATACTCTATCACTTTTTCATGAAATTTGATTTTTTGCGCTTCCTGAAGCCTATAACATGCAGTCGTTCTCATTGAAAGTCATTATTTTCAATAAACTGTTTTCTATATTAAGTTACATACCGGCATACAATACTCACCTTGTGGAATTATATGTACAGCTTCAGAACAGTCCGTCGGTATTGTAACGTCTTGATTGAAGAGAATAAAACACAATTAATACATTTTCATAAAATCATCATCTTTCATGAATGATACAAAACAATAACATAAGTTTCTTTTCGTAGGTTTTAAATATGGTTAACATTTCCAATCATACCAAGGGCTAGAATAGAACCACTTCTTTAGAAACATACACATACACTTCCGAGCTCGAAATAAAGGAAGACCAGTACCAGTAAATGACAGAGTATCTCCTCAAAATACAGTTAACACCAGATATTACGAATTGATATATATATATATATGAAAACCCCTGTTATATTCAGATATACCGCCAAAACCTTTAATATAAGTAAGTTATTAATATAAAACACTGTGTTCGTACAGTGACAAAGACATTACAACACTAAAAAACATCCGGGAATAGACATGGCTGGAAGTAAAGCCAGTAAGTTATAGAGTATCTCCTCAAAATACAGTTAACACCAGATTTTACGAATTGATATATATATATGAAAACCCCTGTTATATTCAGATATACCGCCAAAACCTTTAATATAAATAAGTTATTTATATAAAACACTGTTTATACAGTGACAAAGACATAACTACACTTAAAACATCTTGGAATGGACATGGCCGGAAGTATAGCAAGTAAGTTATTAATATAAAATCCTGTGTTCGTACAGTGACAAAGACATTACAACACTAAAAAAATCCAGGAATAGACATGGCCGGAAGTATAGCAAGTAAGTTATTTATATAAAACACTGTGTTCGTACAGTGACAAAGACATAACTACACTTAAAACATCCGGAAATAGACATGGCCGGAAGTATAGCAAGTAAGTTATTTATATATAACACTGTGTTCGTACAGTGACAAAGACATAACTACACTTAAAACATCTTGGAATGGACATGGCCGGAAGTATAGCAAGTAAGTTATTAATATAAAACACTGTTTATACAGTGACAAAGACATAACTACACTTAAAACATCCGGGAATAGACATGGCCGGAAGTATAGCCAGTAAGTTATTAATATAAAACACTGTGTTCGTACAGTGACAAAGACATAACAACACTTAAAACATCCGGGAATGGACATGGCC